CTGACTTGTTTCTATTGTAATGGATGAGGAAATTTTCCAATATCTCAGCTTTTTCCCAACTCCACTGGGAGCAGATTTTGGCAGCATTAAAATATGGGGGAAAGGAATAGTGGTGAGTGTTTTGCATCAGGTGTCAGCAGTGTTGTGCTCTCAGTGAACAATGGGACATTAGACATGCACACCACTGGCCCAAAGGGCTTCTTAGGAAACAGTGTGAGAAGTCAGAACTAAGTCTTCATTTCTCCATATTTTCCATCCATTGTTTTAAATAATTATTTGGAGCTTCATTGAAAGAGCAAAATATGGGCAGTATAGAAAGAGAGAGGAAAAAGAGAGAGGAAGCATTTCCACACTTGTTGCTTACCAGCACTGATAAAATGAATGTTGGGCGCTTTGTTTTTATTTATTTATATGGTTACTTATTTACATTTATGTTTTTAAATGGTAGAGATGTCAACAGGGCTGCAGTGATCATGCCCTGGTGGGTTTCACAAGCCTGAGGTATATAGGCCAGGCAAAGAGTCAGAACACTGAATTTTACAAGACCAAATTTTCAGTTGTTTAAGGAATCAGTGGATACAACCCCCTGGACAACTTCCTTCGGGGATAAAGGATTTGTGCAGAGCTGGCCACTCTTTAAGAACCTATTAATTCAAGCAAAGAGCACTCAGTTCTTCTTTTGGAGCAGCTGTCAGAGGTGTGCAAATTAAACACCTGGGGAGGCTGGTGTGACAGGAGTTTCAGACTGAGTCACCACATCGCTGCAATAAATTGGACTGGGAATGTTGAATGCTCTTTTGGTTGCCTTTGATGAAAAGGATGAAACTAAAGTGTGTTTGCCCTTTGTAAAGATGAAGAAAGAGACCCTTAGGAGTTACAGGAATATAGTTGGTAGTAACTGCAGTCAGGTGGGGTTTGGATGAGGTCCTGTGTCATGTTTTCAGTGATTTCTGAATATTATGCTGATACTGGAGCAGTTCAGAAGCTGCCACATCCATCAAGTGCAGGTCTTTAATACCTGTGACCAAATCACACAGGAAAACATAACAGTACAGAAGTCAACAATGAGTTACAAGGCTGCTTTTATTAAGATATCAAAATTCCTATAAACAGACTCAGTCACAAATAACAGTTTCTGCTGAGCATGCAAGGTATCAAATACAAGCTACTGGTTCACATTTCATCCTGAGGAGTGGTGCTTAGCTTTTGAAAATGGCATAGCTCCACCAAAATCAACAGGCAGATCTCCAATTCTATCATCTCCAAGAAGTTCAGCATTATAACTACTAAAAACTAGAAAAAATATTTATAGTAAAATAGGTGATCCTGTCACTCAGTGCAGAAGGCAAACACATTTCACATTTGACAGCAAATTGAGCAAAAGTTAAGAGACTCCTGCATAACAAGAACTAATGGTTAGGTTGTTGTCCCAAGAAGTTGTGGACTCTCCATCCCTGGAAATGTCCAAGGCCAGGCTGAGCACCCTGGGATAGTGGAAGGTGTCCCTGCCCATGGGCAGGCACTTGGAGCTACATGGTCTTTAAGGTCCCTTCCAACCCAAAATTCTATGATTTCATGCTCATCAGACCAAGACTGCAAAGAGAATTTATAGTTTCACCACTTAAAACTAAATGGATTTTTTTTTTCTTTTTTTTTAGATCAGGATCTGGTGACTTATTTCCATAAGGAAAAGACAAGTCAAAGTGTCTTATTCCTTACAGAGTGACTTGAATCTGAAGTAGAATGCAAATGATTACTCTGAAATTTATTGATATATTTTAAAGATATATATAAAAACTCTAAAATCAATCAGTACAACCTTTTGCAAAATATGGAAGACTTTTACCCAGTAATCTTACTACTTAATGGAAATTGGAGGATAGAAAAGCCACTTTCCTATGCTATTCTGTACCCAAAAATCAGCACCTCAGTGCTATGACTACTTAGAAACATTCATGACTTCAAGCTAAGGACCATTTTCCACTAAGAGTTATTTATAATGGTGTCCATTGAGCTTAAGGAGGAATTTATTTATAAATTACTAAATTAGATGTGCCCTAGGCACAGCAGATTATCCCTGTGCAGGAGGAGTGACTGCAGTGAACAGAACCAAGGGCTGGTGGGACAAGTTATTGACACCTCTTCACCTCCCATATTCCAACACGCTCACTGAGGTGGAGATTGGGGGCAGCAGAGAAGGGCAGCCCAGGAAAGAGCCCTGCAGGGGATGCTGACTGCATAAAGAGATTTTGGCTCCAGTTTATCCAGCTGAGCAGGCTGTTGTTGTGCCCAATGGGCCGTGTAAAGGGAGCCTGTGCTGCTGCACCGATGGTCTTGGAGCCAGGCAAAATTCAGGTCAAATTTATAACTCTTCATTTGCAATTGGAGAGCTTTCAGGTGGGCAGCAGTGTGTGGCTTGGCTGCACAGTCATTAGGGTCTAATTAAGCAGAATACACAGGTGCCAGTTGATTTATCTGGAAAAACATGGGCTGCCAGCAACAAAAATAGTTTCTTTTTTTTTTCCTTTCTTTCCTTTCCATTGAAACTTTCTCATTTACAGATTTAATCAAATTCAAAATCTCATGCTGAAGAACACCCTGAGCAGGTTAAGCCCCAGATCCATAGTGGCTTTTCCTTACTTGGTGGCAAGTCCAAGGCTTGTTCACCAGCTTCTGTATACTTAAGGCATTGCACAATTAGCTCTTCAAAGCTTCAACCTCACCCTGAGTAAACAGCAAATTACAAACCAAAAAAGAGATCTCTCTGAGGGTTTGCTGATTTACTTCCTTGAATATCAATGGAAACATTCAGCTTTTCAATATTAATGGCACAGGGATGCTAAGATGAGCACATAATGATATGTTCACAGTGAGAAAACCAGATCTTGAAACTCAAAGAGAGAGCCAGATGTCTTTTTCTTCCCTTCTATTTTATCAATGGAAAACCTGACAAAATTCACTTCAACCTGGAGCTGTTGTCACAAAGAATTCTTAGGATACCAGGGAAGAACCAGACTGCTAAGGAAAAAAAAAGAGGTGGAGGGGAGAGAGGGGGTATAGAAGCTTTTTATATATTACTTTAATTTGAAAGAGTCAGTGTTGTGTAGAGCAAGGAAAGCCAAATGTTGAGTGAAGACAAAGTTCAGTTCTCCATGTGATGAGATATGATCCCACTAGAAAAAAAAATATAAACCAAATCAATCAGGATTGAGACAGGTAATCAATTCCCTTCCAAAGACATTAAATACATAGGAAAGAAGAGCTGAGTAGTGCCAGCTCCAATATGGAGCCATCAACTGAAGCTCCATCGTGATGTAGAAATGTTACAAGTCTGACAATATCCTTTATGCTCCAGCATCTTTGCTCAACTCCAGATTTCCCATTACTGTGAGGTATTACTCAGGAGAGCAGAATGGTGAATGCAAGAATGATGAATGGAGAGACTCAGAGATTTCACGTGTAGGTTTTAAGTCTGAAACAGAGTAAAATTTAACAGGGTAGAAAATCCATCTGGATTTAGGTGAAGTGTATTGTGTAGTGGCTTGCTAGCACGAGTAGAATATGCTGTTTAGTCTGTTAACTTTGCTGTGCTTATAAAACTGTCCCAGCCAAGGAGAAAAGAATGTAATCTCCAAGGTGAAGTGATAAGAAGAGCCCCTTGAACTCTGAAACCAAGAGAAGAAGTCTGCAAGAATGGACATAGGGATTAGAAATTCTCTGTACAAAGGGCCAACTGTAAATTGTAAGGCAAAATCAACAGAATGAATATGCATGAACCTATTGTAAGATTCAATGTATATGTAAATTAGTGCGGGATAATAAAAAGGATCGGGGAATTCCCAAGGGGTTCGAATGCCCTTTGAAGAGGATCCCTGCGGCAGGGGAAATCCCAGTGTGCGCCCAGCGCTGAAAAAAAATAAAATTACCGTTTCCCTACACAACTTTATTGGAATTGTGGGGTTTTGATTTTTCATCCGCGTGTCAAGTCAATGAAGCTTGATATGCCTTTTTTGCTGGGTTATGGCTCTGTGGTGGGATTTGTATCCCCCAACCAATTGTGGCATTGTAGATGGAACTTCAGCTGCTGGAGTTGCACCAAGGAGTCCCAGGTACCTTCCCTTGGGGGTTCTGACACAGGCAGCCCTTGGGAAGCCACCAGAGCATCACCCTCACCTGCAGCCATCTCCTAGGAGCTGCCCAGAGATGGGTTAGAGGGTGGCCTTGGGATGAAAGCCATGGAAGCACAGCTAAATGTGACCACTCCAGACTTACAAGCAGGAAGCTGGGGTAGCTTCCCTGCCCTTTGCCTGGGGTGTATGTTAAACACTTGTGTGCTCAGTGAATTGCAATGAATGATCTGCAAATCCCATGGGGACGTGTCCAGTGCATTTCCTGAGGCCATGGCATTGTCCTGAGGGAGGCCTGCAGCAGGGAAGGGTCACTGACTGACTCTGGCAATAATGGCAAATAAACCCGTTTCCAGGAACAGAATTCCATCCACAGCAAACATCCTGGAGCTGTGAAGTGGTGTCAGGTGTTGTTTCTCTGCCTGCCAGCTTTCTCACTTCTCTCTCCTCCTCTTAAAGACACAAGCATGCAAATGATGCTGAGCTGCTAGAACAGACTAATTCTGCACAAACATGCTGAATCCTGTGGTATCCTGAAAAAGTGTTAAATTCCCAAGACCATGTGGCAGTGGTTGAGTTTCCTCAGAGTTGGGTTTTCAGACTCTCTGCAGGCACATGTAAGCACTGCTTATGCATCTCAATATTTCAAGCTCTTTATGTTTAACATCCCACTGCTTTCTCAAAAAAATATCAAAAAAATAATAAACCCAAGCTTTTGCAGAAAGGGGTAACTTCTGAGGAAAACTTATAAAGTGAGTAGAAAAATTTCCCTCCTTCATTACACTAGTCACTGATTTAAACCCAAAAATTTGAAAACAGGGAAGAACAGTAGGAATTTCTTTCTTACTTATATAGCCTTTACCCACAGAAAAAAGGACAGCAAGTTCAAATATTCTCATATAAAAGATGGTTGTCTACAAATATTTCACAATTTCAAGAAAAGATAAACAGCTGAAAAATGCAACTGATCATAACTGAGTACTTACATGTGGTAACCTGTGAATCACTAATCATAGAACACTTGGTAGCTGAAGTTGTCAGACTTGATCCTGAGGTTGTATCTTCCTGTCTTTCTCTGGTACTGGAAGATGAGAAGGGTCACAACTCCCAGCACAAAACCAAACACAGCAAGGGCTATGAGGATGATGTATCCAATTCCCATTCCAGCCAGCTTATCTCTCTTAGAATCAGATGCTAAAAAAAAAAAAAAAAAAAAAAAAAAAAAAANATCAAGAAGTGAAAGAAAAAACTTAAAATTCCTAAATCTTTTGCTGGGAGAGAAACAAGTTTTGCAGATTAATTAGCCAACATGCCAGTACAGAACTGTGCTACAGAAGTGTATCAGCCTTCTGGGGAGGGTGATTCTCATGGAAAGGGTGTGAGGACAGACCATGTTCTCTTTTTACATATCAGTAAAAAGTGTAGAGTCCCTGCAGACATCAGCATGATTTTCAGCTAAAGTAAGAATTAAAGAATTAGTACTGGTGACTTTTAGAAATGCTGCCTTACTTTCAGAAGTACTTAAGAGGTAGAGCATTCCCCTATCTTAATCCTGCTTCCATTCCTCTGTAATTATAAAAATGACTTGATTTGCTTTTATCATGTGTGTAACTGTTCTTCAAACCCAGAGTATCTGGGGAAGGATTCTCTGTGCACAGGACCTGCTGCAGACCTGTGCTCTGCTGGAAGAGCACCCAGACTCAGAGGGGAAGGAAAGAATGACCCAAATGCCCCAGTGTGGGCAAGAGTCAAGTCCCACATTACCAAGTGCCTCCCAAGGCACCACAGATTACAGATAGAAAGTGTTCTCCTGGTTCTCTTTGAGCCACTTCCACAGATTTGTCCAAACGTGCAAGCAGAAACCCCTCTCCCTTTATTCTTATGCCTCTCTTCATGTTTATACAAAATCTTATAATTCCTTCTTGCAAAGGCTCAGTGCACCTACAAAAACATGCATTTGTTTGCTTACGTTTTCAGGACAGCACTTGTTTTGCCAGGCACTTGTGTGGTACCTGAGGTACACAGAAGATAATTATCACTGCACACATGCATGCAGACAATTAGAGACAAAATTTTTGGCCAAAGGGCACTGCAGGCAGCCACAGAGTTCAGTAAGAACAGTTCAAGCTACAGACACCCAGGGCATCATTCTAAGACAGGCCAAAGCAGTGCTGTGTAATATATTTAGTCTCATTTTTGAATTTTGGCATGAAATAAAGGATTAAAATAGAATATGCACAGTGGAAATGGCAGCCTGTAGCCAGATACAGAGCAGGCCCTCCTGGGGACATGGAATAGTGACTCTTGCCATAGCATGTGACCAGGTGTTGGCAGAGCAGGTAAAGGTTTTCATGTTTCACTGCAGCATTTACACCTGCTATTACACGACATCATTATTCATGTTATCCCCTTCAACACAGCAATGTAGATCACTTAAATTGTGGGCTGATTTCCAAACTAGAAATAAGAGACAGCATGCAAAAGTGCCACCTTTGCCTAGAAATTAATTTAGCACAACCCAAAGAAAGCTCCCCTCACCAGAGGCCCTTTAGGGAAATGACTATTTTTCAAAATTAGAAATTAATCAGGATCTCCAGCAAAAATGGGAGGGAGAGCTACTTGTTGTAAGAGCTAAACAAAGAAAGCTGCATTTTTTGCTTTATATTCTTTATAATTTTTTTAAAGAACTAATTCAGAAATGAGCACTGAGGTACTATTTGAACAGATCATGTAAAGGAAAAAAAATATATTCTTCTGAGTCAGAGTCAGTTCCTAGGTCCAAAAAGAACATTATGAACTGTCTGTTTATGGCAGCCACGAGTTAAGACTCTGATATTGGTGAGCCAAACCATTCTCAATGAGTGTTTTATGTTAAGAAGTTATAAATGTAAGTTGGAGGGGGCCAAATGACTGAAAACATGAGAGACCAAGGGTGCCCTTGAAAGCATCATTCAGGCTAAATGCAGAAAAAGCAGGTGCACAGCAAATCAGACCTTGCTTGTCCCTTGCTGGTGTTTGCCCTCAATTAACCTGTACTGCACCAAATTAACCAAGGGTGCTGTGCATCAGCTGTGCTGTGCCACTTCCCCTCACCCTGGTAATGAAGTCAGTACCAGGGAGCCAAAGGAAATACAACAATAAAATCTCTTATGTCCTCTGATTTGGGACTTCAGAGCCCAAAATAATTGCAGGCTAACAGCAGTGTAAACACTTGGAAAACCGATTGCAATCTTAAAAATCGACTCTGCTTTCACACATTACAATTGAAATAATTGTTTGATTTTGTGGTTGCTGCACTTGCTACCCTGTGCAAGCAGCCACACAAAAGCACTTTATCTTCCTTTCTACATTCCCTTGACAACCTGAGAGTCCCTGGTCTGAGGAGGGCACATGCTTCTCCACGCTGCCATTTGGCTCCAGCAGGAATACCTGCTCCCAAGGAATATAGAGGGGCACAAAATCTCTGTGTGTCACAGGCCTGAAGAGGTTCCTTTGACAGCACAAAATAATCCTGGCATGATATTCTGTTCTCAACTCACCAGCTGATTTACACAGGGGTCCCCAGGATGTTCTGTGCAGGGCGATGGTGTCTCCAGCCTTCAGCAGTCGAGCCCTTGCATGGCATCTCTGCAAAGATCAGTTCAAACTCCAACAAGTCATGTGGGTTACTAATTCAAAATACAAAGCCTTCTGATGAGCTTGTGAAAGCCCAGTGCTACTCTCACCATCGAGCTTTTGTTGTTTAATGTTATGCTCTGTTAAACTGAAATTAGCACCAAAAGGAAGTCCAAAAGAAATGGTATCAGGGAAAAATCAGTATAAAATTTGTAATTAGTCACACTGGAACACACTGCTGTGAACAGACATTTCACGCAGACAACCTTTTCATTAACTTTCTGTTTATTTTAGAGAAACCTTATGGGAGAATAAATTTATCACTAATGCCAAGGTTTTGAAAGCACTTTTGTTTGGATGTTTCTGCTGTCCATGGCAGGCACAGCAGATACTGCAACCAGCACCAACAAAAGCAGCAGCAGCTTTCAGACCCTGCTGAGCCATGTGTCATCCTGAAGCTACCCACAACTTCAGTGACAAGAGTACCACTAACCTGGGAACTGCAAGCCTGAAATCCCTGTCCTCTGGGATGCTGGGGATCAGTTGCTTTAGCTCTGTGTGAGCAGCCCTTGCACAGACATTTTCTGTGCACTTCCTTTTTTTTTTTTTTTGTTTGCTTTTTTTTTTTTTTTTTTTTTTTTTTTTTTTTTTTTTTTTTTTTTGTTTGCTGCCTTTTTGTTTAAGTCCCAGCCCAAAGGTCTCTGATGGGAACCAAAACATACTGGCATTATTCAAAGGGTACTGTGGCTCTCCTGGAAGGGCACAGAAAAACCCAGAGAAATGGCAGCATTATACCATGACCAGCAAAATCAGCAGGGTGTCTTACCACCTTGTTTACACCAGAATGTCCCATCAGTGTTACCAGTTTGGTTCCACTGGAAAACCTCTATAGTCCACTGCCAGCAAAATTGTCTTCAGCTGGGTCAGCCCCCAGAAAAATACCCATGAGGTTATTTATGACTTTGGTCTGCTCTCAAGTAGCTTTCCCAGGCAGGTGGGTCCATTAGAGAACACATTTATGTAGTTGCTCCCTGGCGGCAATGAATTTTTGGTTCCACATGGCCATGGAGCAGCCACATTCCACCAAACACCTGCATGGTGGTGGCACATCACCCCTCTTCCCATTCAAAGTAATTTTTCTCACTCATTTCTTTCTACTTTTCTTCTCAGTCAGTCCATTTTTTTCATCTCTTTACTTTAGAGCACCTTACTCTCTTCCACAGAGAAAACAAGGAGTAAATAGACTGAGTGAGAAGAAAGAACACAAAATGTTGAGTGTGTGGGTGAAGAGTTGAGCTAAACCTGCCCTGAAGCAAGTCACCATTCCCCAGAGTAACAGAGGGTCAGATCCCAGACCCAGGGCACTTTCCCAGGCATCTTACATTATTTACAAATAAATATCCTCTGTTCTTGCTCATCTTCCTCGATATTTGCACCTTCTGCAGCTCCTCCCCGCTTCTCTGTAAAAGCCATTGCTCACCCTGTGTAGATGTGCCTGGTGCTTGTCTTCCCCACATCACAATATAGCCTCAATTAAAGATATTGAAATCACTGACTTCTCACAGGGGTAAATTTTGCATAGGAGAAAGAACAATGCATCCTATATACATTTTATATTCATAATCAGCTGCAAAAA